CAAGTCTCCCTTGCAAGCAATTCCACTCGAGACTGCTTCTCAATTGCAATCACTAACTGGAGTTCAAATGCCCCCGAATATTAACCAGCAGCTCCGCAGTAGCTACCCGACGAACCTAGCATCCTCTCCTGTATTGACATCTCCAACCTTTGGGGTTGAATCGTGTGGAACAACTGCAACATCGATTTTAAGTTCGAAGAGGACCAAAGGTGTTATCGAGCGCCCTATTGTAAATCGCAGTTTAGGGTATTCTACACCAACATCTTCGGTGGGTGCAATGACTCCTAACATTTCAGATTGGAGTTCCCCTGATGGCAAACTAGATTGGGGTATACAAGGAGAAGAGCTAAAAAGACTAAGAAAATCCTCTTCTCTCGTGTTCCTAAACAGTGGCAGCAATTTGGAAAATACAACATTCTCAATGTCATTAACCGGCGATGAATCAGAAATGTCTTGGGTCAAGTCTCACATGAACACCATCCCTTCTCCCAGACAGTTTAGAATTGAGGATCAGTCGCAGCAGCAATGTCACGACAATGGAGATCCAGATATGCTGATTGCCTGGATGAAACAATTGTACAATGACCAGGACTAGTTGATTAGCAAACTTGGCCCCTTCGGGAGAAAAAAATAATGAGAAAAACGAGTAGATTTCTACAAATTTATTTATTGGTCGATTTCTAGGGTTTGTTCATATGTTATTTATAAGAAACTGCTGCATTAACCAATAATAATCCCATGAATTCCCTCCCATATTCTACCAAGAACACATATGCCATCAGCTTCAATATTAACATCTGAACATTACCAAGGTTCATTATAATTCCATAATTTGATCATTTGGATTATATATATATATGGTTCTAGAAGGAAACATCTCTAACAGAAACAAATGTACACATATAAAGACTCATAATTCCAACATTAAAAAATCCATCATTTGATCGTTCCTGGCTACATAAGCACCAATAAAACATTACCTCAATGCATAAACCCTACTTTTTACGTTACGTTCAAAGAAAAAGACTGAGATATATATACCAACATAGGAGTCGTAGACTACATATTTGCCAATTGCCATCACATTTTTCGCATAGTCGTCTGATTGCAATACCCGGCCGGATGCTTCCAGCACATGATCAAATCTGGGTGGTGTTTCGCCATCGCTACCACAAGCCGTTCTTAGTTGGGAGTTGTGACAGTAACTGAAACAAGGAACGAATCAGACGTTGAGAGTTCCATCAAAATTAGACAATGGCAAGGATTACCATGAAGAGAAACTCAAAAACCTAACATCATAGAATCAAAGAACCTATTAATACATTATTTCTTTCGCTGCATTTCTCTTGTGCTTCCGAAAAATCACCGTTGAAATTGATAACCAACTTAAATACAACACTATTTATAACTTAATCAAATCATATAAAAAATCAATATTTTTGTTAACCAAAAGAACCCCATTATGTCAAATTGTTTCTTATGAAACAAAGTTCATATATTGTGATACTGAATTCATATAAACATGTCCATTAACTTCTATGAAATGTGTAATGTAATACTGGATTTATATCTTTACTTTTTAATTTAATTAATTTTATATATTATTATAAAAGCAAAGTTTATATATTGTTTTAATATTTATCCATTTAAAATTTTAATAGAACTTAAATTTTATTTGATGGTCTACTATTAATAAAAATAAAATCTACTTCAGAAAGAAGGGATAAGAATATAGAATTCAGCTGGACCACTCGAAAGCTTAAAGGAAAGTACTTGCTCACTGTTAGTCTTAAGCCTATATTTAATTCATTTATCTACCTCATGTGAAAGGAGGGGAACTCGATGTTTTTTCAAGGGAACACTTTCGAAAATAATTTTTGATTCATTGCGTTAAAGATATAGTTAGATTGAGATGGTCAGGAAAGACTATCAAGAGGAGAATCAGTGTTAATATAGATTATCATTTGCTATATACTTGGCCTCTATATATTGTGATTAATGGTTTGTATGATTGGCATTTATGTAAAAAATTCCAAATTTAATTTTCTTGATACTCGAATGTAACATCTCTTGTTTATGTAAGACTATCGGACCGGATAGACAATGTAAAAAAAATTATCATCAAATTCTTGACAAATAGAATCTAACTTTTTGTGAACGTATCAATGAAGCACAAAGTGTATTTACATCAACAATTAGTGTGCTAGTGACATAAATCAATAATGAGTCAAAGTTTTCAAGACTAGTATTCTAATTTGTACCTCACCGCGCTGATAATACGACTCATGGTTTTGGCTAAAGAGGGATTAAGATACGTATCTGATATGTATTAGATTGAGTGTTTTATTTGCACATGTTTTTGTTCATAATTATTCTTCGTCGTCTATTTTACATTACTGATTTAGGCGATTATGGTTTATTTTTGTGCATGAGATTATTTTTCAGAAAACAGGACTAAAAGGGACGATTCTGTAGTTTATATTTTTTAGAATCGTGGCTAGACATATGGGCATAACATGGGATATGACGCATTCTAACGTGACAGTTTCTAGAACGTTCAGTCAGCAACAGGAGCAGTTTATAGAGTCAATGTTATATAGAAGGAAGGCAGACAAAAATCATTTAGAAATTCAGTTCGAATTTGAAACAATTACATGGGATTTATCTTGTCATTATTTTTCTTTTGGTTATTTTTAAGATTATCTTTAGAATAGTTTATCTTAAATTTTCTTTTATCTTTAGGAAGATTATCTTTTGTAATTCTTTAGGCTATAAATACCCTATTAGGGTGAAGCTAGAGAATGTACTTTCTTTCTTTGGTTTTTATACAATTATCGGTGTTTTTTTTAATTAAAGTTGTTTTCTTTTATCTTTCTTTAGTTTTCTTTTTACTTTATTTTCTAAAAATGTTAAATATTATTTTCATCATGCTTAGCTAAACTCTCATTTAGCCGATAGCTTAGCGATGACTCAATTCATTAGGTGAGAATTGAAAAGAACTTGATATATTCGGATATCATTTTTAATTTTCTGCAAACTTGGATTGGTAATCATCCATTCCATCAAAAATCTCAACACTTTCATTTCAAAAAGTGCTCGTTGGTTTGGATGTTGTTATGATTTATAGTTGGGAGGAAGAGTCAGCTAGCAACAAATTCAACTTCCTATGAACACACTTAGTGGCGGTCCGCTATGGGAAATTGAGATTGAATTTGATTCTCATTGAGACAACATAATCAGAGTTAGGCTTTTCCAACGCTTAAAGTTGTTTCGGTGCTAACAGAGATAAACGTGGTTAGTCCAAACAATGACTAAATTTCAAAGATTGACTTGTCAATATTGGTTTACTGGAAAGAAAATAAGTTAATAGGGTTGGGCCTTGAAGTTTGTAACCGAAATAAATCCCAAAGTAAAATCTCTATTGATGATCGAAATAAATTGAGACAAAGCAAGACTTGAGGCTATTTTTCATCATTATTATTTTCAACTAATTATTTTCATTCTTTGTCATTTTTTATTTAGTTCATTTTATCTAGTTTTTATATTACCAAACCTCTTTTTCTTTTTTACTTATAGTTTCCTTGGATCAAGATCGACACAATACAACATTAGAAATTTCTATGTCCTTGCAGTTTGACATTTTCTTCTGTATACTACACTTCAATTTATTTCATTTGAGAGAAAAATAATATTTATTTGACAATTAAGACATTTTTCAAATTAGCGCCGTTGTCGAGGATTTCGAAAAATTACTGATATAGTTTTGTTTTGATTTATGACCAGGAAGAACCGGCAGAATTAGTAGATTGTGAACTAGAGATTGAAGCATTAACTTGTAGAATACTCAGACAAACGCTTCGGCAAAAGAGACAACGACGACGACAACAACAAGAACAACGCCCAGATCTAGTACCTGACGTAACTTCCGATGTCGATACACACTTCACATACGAAGGACCAATTTCGATGCCTGATCAAACAATCCGAGAATTAGCTATAACGCCTTTCGTACAATAATCATTATGCATCTCCTTCCCTCATGGAGAAACTCCACTCGAGCTTAAGACGAGTCTTATCCACCCTCTGCCAACCTTCCATGGGTTGCCAAGGGCGTGAGCCTTTAATGTCAAAAAGTTGAGAGTTATCTTTGAACAGATACAACCTTGTATTTACCCCAAATTAATCAAAAATAATAATTTATTTCATCAGAGGGTGACACGTGTCATCCTTTTGTTGATAGAAAATAAATATATTAAATTAAAATAAAGTTAACCTTCCAATTGAATAGTGACATGTGTCATGACACTCGTCATGAGTGACATGTGGTACCATCTAATTTGATGATTCAAATTATTTTGATTTATTAAATATAGGACTATATTGATAGAATATGTAATTAACATGAATCAAATGTGTAATTATTCTAAAATATTTAATTATCACATCACTTTACCTATTAAATGTTAACACAAGTGCTTGATTGACAACAATTAATTAGTTAGGTGGTCTTATTGACAAGATTGAAAGGTTGATGGTCAAAGTAAAAGAAGAAAATAGTTAAGTGATAATCGGTATAGTTTACCTACAAAAATAAAATAAAATTTATGATTATTATATTTTTTAAATAAAAAAATAGAATGTTGATGAAAATATTAGATTTCAATAAAATAAAATCTGAAAATAGAAAAGAAACCCAACATCTTGTTCATATATGAACACAAACGAATTGAGAAAAAAGGATTTGAAAGATCACTAAAAATATGACTAACAATATACTAAAAGAAGGGTTGAAACTTGAACCCGAAAGGTCTGCAAAAGGAGAAGATAGAATCAATAGACGCACGGAAAGGACAGAGGAATGAACTTTCAGCCTACAAAAAAGGAGACGGATACGGTCCATCACAAATAATCAGAAGCAAATTAGGCATGCAGTGGGTATTAAAAGAGTTTGGAGACAATGTCTCCATGCAGCACAACAAAAAACCAAAAAAAGGAAAAATTAAAAAGATTGCTTGAGTTCAAACAAGCAGAGATTGTTGTCCCCGGTCAGGGTCCTGTAAGCAATCAAGCAAACTCATTGCAGGACTTTGGCCTGGAAAACCCCTTTTTTGTTCCCCCTTTTGCCACCACAATCGAAACATAAACCCCAAAGCAAAAGGGTGCTAAACATGGTCATTTCGAAACCCCAAAGTTTTAGCCTATTCTTGTTGTGCTTGTCCTTTGTTGGAATCCATGCTCACATTGCAGTGTACGATGATTATTGGAGGGAACGTGAATCGCAAGCAAAAGAAAATCTTGAAAAGGCCTATAACCCCAACCCAGAAAATGTAACCAAGCATTTCAATGACCATGTTGCTAGGACGTTGATGGGGTTCAATACCAGCACCACAAGACGAGCTATGAAAAGAAAGGATAAAAGGGCTCCATGCATGGCAACCAACCCCGTCGATCAATGCTGGCGGTGTGATCCAAACTGGCTGAGAAACAGAAAGAAGTTGGCTGATTGCGCTATCGGATTCGGGAAAGGTACCATCGGTGGACGGGACGGAGAGATTTATGTTGTCACTAGTCCCTCCGATGAGCCGCTTGACCCTAGGCCTGGTACCCTACGTTTTGGTGTGATCCAAAACGTGCCACTTTGGATCATCTTTGCAAGAAGCATGATCATCACGCTGAAAGAGGAGCTCCTCATCACATGCGACAAGACCATCGACGCTAGGGGAGCCAACGTGCATATTGCTTATGGGGCAGGTCTTACCGTCCAGTTCGTGAAGAACGTCATCATCCATAACCTCCATATCCATCACATTCTTCCCAAGAGTGGTGGCATAATCAAGGACGGTGCGAACCACTTTGGATTGAGGACAAGGAGCGATGGTGATGGGATTTCCCTCTTTGGAAGCACCAACGTTTGGCTTGACCATCTTTCCATGTACAAATGCTCCGATGGTCTCATCGATGTTGTTCAAGGTTGTACCGCCATCACCATTTCCAACTGTCATTTCACCGATCAAAACGATGTGATGTTGTTCGGAGCAAGCGACAGCTACAGTGCGGACGAGAAGATGCAGGTCACAGTTGCTTTCAACCATTTCGGTAAGAAATTGGTACAGAGGATGCCTAGGGGCCGATTCGGTTTCTTCCATATCGTCAACAACGAGTACACTTATTGGAACATGTATGCCATCGGAGGCAGCAGCCACCCTACGATTATCAGCCAGGGAAACCGATTCAGAGCTCCGGTTAACAAAGCAGCCAAAGAGGTGTGCAAGAGGGAATATGTAGGACCGGAAGTGTGGAAGCACTGGAACTGGAGATCAGAAGGTGACTTGATGTTGAATGGTGCTATTTTCATTCAGTCCGGTGATCCGAACACCAGCAAGAAATACGGAGGCGACAAATTGATTGCAGCTCAGCCGGCTCATAGGGTGCCTTTTATGGTCAAGTGGTCTGGAACACTTATATGCGTCCCAGGCAGGGCTTGCTAAACCACTGGCGTATAGGGTTTGTTTTCTCATAATGGACAACAATCTCTTAACTCTCTTCACTGTAATATAAGAAGGGAGCATAGGGATATATCTGAAAATATTTATTTCTAATATTCCAAGTATGTAATCTTTTATTACCAACAGTGGTATTTTGGGGTATATTAGCGGGAATGTGATTACCTCCCTTCCCTTAGGTATTGTTGGATTACCGACGTTTTGGACTAAAATGCCCTTAAATTTTTTTTCTTTAAAAAATATCCTTCTTCTGTCATTGAATAATAAAAATTCTACGAAGGTTAAATTACAAATTTATCCTTAAATTATTTTTGATTTACAAAAAAAAATCTATAATTAGAATTTTATATGAAGTTCAGGGGTTAAAATAAAACTTTACCCTTTCATTAAACCTATTTATCTTTTTAATTTTGTAAAAAAATTTATATAAATTTTATGAATTTAAAATTTTTAAAGAAAATATATAAATTAATTATAATAATATTATAGTAGAATTCAATTTGTTAAAAAAACAAATATATAATAAAAAATTTTTGGTAAAATATAAATTTCAATAATATTTTATTCTTTTAATCAAACACTGTAATCTTACATTCCTGCTAAACTAAACAAATACAAAATACAACATTCTCAATAATCTTATTCCCCGATAATATTTTATTCCCACTAGTAATCTTACATTCTGTGAACCAAACGCACCCTTAAAGTTAATTTCTCCTCCTAAGGTGTAAAAGTTTTATATTTAATTAGTATCACTTTTTTTGCATGATCGTGATACCTACAATGACCACAATAACACCTATTATGTTCGTGATAAACATAACATAACCGTAATTTAAAGCTCAGCATCTTAACGTATCAATAAGTTTATACTTCTAAATCTTTACATCTTAAATGGAACCGTAACAGTAGTAAGTTTTATAACAATCTCATATAATCTTTCGTTTTTCTTTTTGTACTAATAACACCTATTATGTTCGGGATAAACATAACATAACCGTAATTAAAGCTCAGCATCTTAACGTATCAATAAGTTTATACTTCTAAATCTTTACATCTTAAATGGAACCGTAACAGTAGTAAGTTTTATAACAATCTCATATAATCTTTCGTTTTTCTTTTTGTACTAACAGAATTGTTCTTAAATCTGTCTTTATCTTTTTCTTGAACTTTGAATGACTAATCTTAAATATTTTTGGATAGTTGAATGATTAAAAATAGATTAATGAGATTAACAGTAAAAAATAAAAAGATTTTTATAAAATATATATTATCTTAAATTTAAAAATTTTAATCTCAACTATCCATTTTCATTCATTTAATATTATAAAACACTGAATTTTATACTTTATACGGAATAATATATATTCTTCTAATAATGGTGCTCCTCAAAATACTCAAATAATCTATTATACAACAAAATCATCTTAACGTTGAACTTTATAAGCTCAATAATATATCATTAATTGAATATAAAGTCATGAGTGTTATAAATATAAAGCATGCTAGTGGAATATACAATTTAAGATGAGTATATACATATATCACATTTCAAGACATAATATGCTTCATTTCACCAATATAAATCTCTTGCTTTTTTTAGTCTCTAACAAAGGAAAGTGGGTATCAATATTTGTTTGATATTTTCTAACATGTTAGATTAGGGATGAACAAAATTTAACTTGACTTGATTTGAAAAGTTGATTTTTTTCAACTAGACTTAATTTGAAAAAATTAAACTCGAATTAACTTTGAGTTGTAATTTTATAAACTCGACTCAAAAATATTTCAAGTTCAATTCAAGCTGTAAAATACAACTCGAATAATTCGACTAGTAAGTTGAATAACTCAAAATTTTTAGTAATTAACATATTGATTTTCAAGTTTGAGTCGAGTCCCTCAACTTTGTATAATATATATATATTACATATGAAAATTTTGTATGTATTTTAAATGGTTATAAAAACCCATTTAAATTGGAATCAAATAATATCAAAATATTATAAATATTTACAATTAAATTTAAACATAAACTCGAAAAATCGACTCAACTCACAAAATGTTCAATTCAACTTGGAGTTGTCAAATAAAACTCGTCAATTCGAATAACTCAAAACTTTTTAACTCGATTCGACTCGACTTGATTGAATAATCACCCTATGTTAAATAGATCCGCAAATTTTTGCAGGTCCGAGGATGTTGGGCTACATTTTCTTCCATTGGATGGCTTGCCTCGAGTTTAAGTTCGTTCTACACGTTCGGGTTGGGTTATTTTACGTTTACTTTACTATTTGAGGGCCTATCCATACCAATGATTATGTTTATCTTGTTTTCTTGTTATGTATGTATTGCATTACTATTATCTGGATTCAAATTGTGCATTCTTTCCCAAAACCAAAAAGGGAAGACAAAAGTATGACTAAGATTAACGTGAATTTGAAAGTATAATAATAATATTAATATTAATAAGTATTATTATTGAATCGAACGAAATAAAATAAATACATAATTAAAACTAACAAACAAAATTATTTATTCGTACATAAACATGAAATCGGATGAGCAAAGTCAGATAAACAGAAGAATAATTTTTGTTGATACATGTATAAACAATTTTTTAAAGATAGATCCCTCATCTCCTTGATGCTTTGAGTAATGCTGGACGTTAGTCTCATCAATCTACTAGGAAACAATAACAAACGATCACAATAATAAGCACAACAACATTAAACAATCGAAAACAATCTTATCTTTCTCTATCACCAGAAAAAATGAATTTGAAAAGAATGTTCTAAGACTTTTTCCTATTCCAAAGTTGTCTAAATTGTGTATCAACTATCCTTTATATAGTAGTAGAAAAAAATGAATTAAAAGGTTAAGACCATTTAATGAAGATAATTGACCTTTGACGAAGAAAATTATTAAAAAAAATTAATAAGTATGATGGAATGGATGTAACTTTAAACTAAAATTTAATAAATTTATTCACCAAATGACAACTTATTATAAAAAACATTAATATTATTTAATTAATCAATTATTTTTTACAACAATCTCCCACATTAATAAAATTGATTGTTTAAAAATATTTGACTCAATGTGACGATAGATTTTACATTTGATATTTGCATAAAAACCTTTTATTGTGAAAATATATTTACCTTATTGGTTGTCCAGTAGACGTGACGTCCTTGAACTATCTTGTAATTTGTGTAAGTGAAGATATACCTCACACAAATACTTTTCTAATAATAATTTATTATCATAGCTATGTCTATGTAGTCCTCGACATCTTTTGGTTCTACAAAATCTTAAAAAATTAAGTCTTAATAGTCTCCTTGAAGTGGTTTTATTTCAGTCTCACATAGGTGACTTATGTTGTTCAACTCATGAAAACATATAGTAACCATTAAAAGTATTGTTTAACCTTTTTCACATTTTAATAACTATTTTCATCATAGGAATAAACTTGGGATAAAATCTCATAATGACCTCATAAGGTCTATGCAAGTAGGTTGTCCCATTGAATCTAGATTTTTGGATTCTCAGTGAACTAGGTTGAATTTTCTTTCTCATAGCGCCTTAACAAATCATGTACTCCAGTCTCATTCTTTTTGGTGTTTTATCAATTAGATCTCAATTCAACCTTTTGATCAATGAATTCATAATTTTTATCTTCTGATCTTATAAAATTAATAGAGATAATTCTAATAGATCAATTGTCTAATTATATTGTGTTGACGACACATGTGTCTCAACTTATTATTATACATTATTTTTTATGTCCTATCAATTGATGTTTGGTTATCACAATATATGAGTCATTATCTTTGTAAACACCTTCATACTTTCCGGTAGTTGTAAGAAAGTTTTTCTACCTTCCATAACTCATATATTGTCATTTTATTTTCTTGTGCAAAACTTTATTTAAAAGGTAATTAGATGATATAATAACTTCCCTCCACTATGATAACCCATAATTTTCTTATAACACCCTTAGACTGATATAGGTGACCCAATTCGTTCCGACATGTCACATTAGGGTCACCTGAGCGACCCACATTAAAAACACATGAAAAATAAAATTTTACCAAACACAATTTAGAATTATAAAACCATGTCAACATAATATAAAAATTCAGAAATCATTTGGACTTTGAAACATAATTCAATAACAAATAAATATCAAAACAAGTTAGACTCTAATATACATACAAAATGTGATCTACATGCCCCCTAATTATATGGGTATCATACTCTGCGAGCAACGTCGAAGGAACTCCCATTACTGACGTCAATAACTACACAAGATCAATTCCTTTAACCTGAAATGGTAAGTAACATAGTGAGCTTTAGGAAAGCTCAATAATACATAACTACCAGATGATACTAAAGGACAAGTAGATATATCGAAACCCATAAAACATTCTTGTTGAACAGAAATTATACATGTTCTAGTGATGATTTGAAGTTTATTAGAAACCTACGATTTAGAGGAAACATCAGAGAGAAATTATTGAGATTAAAAACGAGTGTCTAGTGTGTTCCCACAAAACGATAAATAAGTTTATATATAGTTTAAAAGTAGTTTATTTCAGGAAAACAAATTTTTAAAATTATTATAATACCCTCCGACCGAACATCGATATGTATTTCCCCAAAACTACATCCATGAGGACTTACCCTAGGCCTATTGGGCGCAGGAGCCAACCTAAGGAGTACCTTAGGGCATATGGGCCTACCCAAGGGTCATCTTAGGTTTATAAGGAATTATCAGCTTGATTAGAGCTGAACCCTGGAACTCTAGAATACCTCCTAAAAAGTTCCCAATAAAATAATATTCAGTAGTAAACTATAATATCATAATCATGATTCAGTAGAATATCATAAATGTGACAATGAAGTTTATTTAAATCACATAATTGTCCTCCACCCGTACACCAAAATGTAGTCCCCCAAAACTACATCCATAAGGACTTACCCTATACCCAATTAGTATA